CGTGGGTTAGGTCAGATTTTCTAAGACTGCTCCTAAATCTACAAAATCTACACACAAAATATTAAAAACAACTTAAGTATAGAATTGATGTTGGACAGGCTAGGATGAAGAAATGATAGGTTTAAAACTTTATTCAATAAACCTTCTGTGGTTTCCTGTAGGTAAATTTGGTTTTGTTCCTGATGACCCTCTGGATTTTGAAAAGCAAACTCTCTTCTCTCAACAGTGATGTGTCCACCCTCCAGAACACAAGGTAAGATGGAGAAGAGGGTGACAACCCCAAAGACATGAATCGTTCCCAAGAAGTAAGCCATGTGCCTTATCAGCCCCTGATGTCCTTTCTCAGGGTCTTCTGAGGTAACCCAGAATAAACACGTGGCAGCCATCCTCCATGGCAGCCAGCTCAGATTCGGGGGTCTGCCTTCCTAGGTCCAAGTCAAAATGCCATCCTGGATGCAAGCAGCATTTCTATTGTGGGAAATCACTGACAGTATTGATCTAAGTTAATTACAACTCAGCCTGAGAAATCAACTACAGGGGAGATAAAGAGGGTCACCCATGGGTAGAGATGAAAATAGCCTTGATGTTCTTCGTCTGGGTGTATCATGGGCTTCCATTCTCCTTCTACCCAGGATGCTGACATTTAAAGCAACAGCTCAGCTCGTCATCTTGGGCTGTACGTGGTGTCTGGGCATCCTGCAGGTGGGTCCAGCGGCCCAGGTCATGGCCTATCTCTTCACCATCATCAACACCATGCAGGGCGTCTTCATCTTCCTGGTGTACTGCCTCCTCAGCCAGCAGGTACCACTGCCCAGCTCCACCCAGGACTCTTCCCATCTCTCCCCTCTCCGAGAGCTGATTCAGAGTATACTTTGCCTCTGCAGGTCCGGGAGCAATATGCAAAATGGTTCAAAAGAATCAGGACATTAAGAGCTGAGTCTGAGATGTACACGCTCTCCAGCAGGGCTGACTCTGATGCCTCCAAACCCACCATGGTAAGATCATGCCTTGCTGCCAGACACTTCACTGACCTGAGCATGTGCCTATCACACTGGACATCCTGGGTATACAGCAGGTGATGCCCTAGGATGGAGCACATTTGCATGACTCTTTGACTCATTAGCTATTAGCAATGGCCTCAGTTCAAATGTTTGTTTAAATAAATCCTTTGCTCTTCCTCTTTAGGGAACTCTACTCATTTTGACTCTTGCACATGAACGCTCTTATTGACCACCCACTATGTGCCATGCCTGGTTGACTAAATAAGCAAGAATCAATGACCTGAAGCCGTGACGCCCGTTCTGCTCAGTAGCACATTTTCCTATCCTTTGCCTCTGCACACAACTCCATCTCACAGTCTTCAGCACCACCACCCAACAAGGACAAACAGGGGGACATGGCATCATATTTATGAACTAAACAGAAATAAGCGCTGACTGGAATTTAGACATTTTTAGCAAGCCTGCCTCTACACATTACCACCAAGCAGTGGGTAGTGGGTTGTGCCTGTACTCAGCACCCTCTACCTACTGCAAGACCAGGAACGAAAAACAGTTGTGGCGTGGGATAATTCATGGCAATGATTGCTAATAACCAACACTTATTAGTTCATACATACAAAGTTCTTTCACCTCCTACAAAGTGTTCTTACCTCTTCTTCCATCTTCTCTGAACTCTGTGGTGATGATAACCCCACTTGACAG